AGTGCTAAGAGCCGATACCAATTAGACCCAAGAGAGGCGCATTGGATTGCGGCCAAGAATATCCTAAAGTACCTAAAAAGGAACAAGGATAAATTCCTGGTCTATGGTGGCCACAAAGATTTGGTTGTTGAAGGTTACACCGACGCTAGCTTCCAGACTGACAGAGATGACTTCAAGTCACAGTCAGGGTATATATTTTGCCTAAATGGAGGAGCGTTTAGTTGGAAGAGTGCCAAACAAAGCACCACTGCAGATTCTACAACTGAAGCCGAATACTTGGCAGCTTTGGAAGCAGCAAAGGAGGCAGTTTGGATTCGTAAGTTCGTTAGTGAACTTGGTGTTTTACCCTCCATCAAGGGTCCAATAGATCTCTATTGTGACAACAATGGAGCTATTGCTCAGGCTAGAGAGCCAAGAGAGCACCAGAAGGTCAAACATGTCCAAAGGCGATTTTACATGATAAGGGAATGGAAATCCGAAGGTGAAATCAGAATTTGTAAGATCGGAACGGATGATAATGTGGCCGATCCTTTGACTAAACCTCTGCCTCAAGTGAAGCACAACAAGCACGTCGAGGCAATGGGAATCAAGCACGTTGGAGATTGGCTTTGAATTCCCCATACATGTGTTTTAATTAAACTAGATGTCTTAATGTAAAACACTATGTTGAAACCATTCATTTATGGAGTAATCAATTTTATGCAAAAATTACTATTCACTCCATTGCTATTTAATTGTGGTTTAGAATTAAATAATGAGTCCATTCGATTTCTGAGAATATTCAAAACAGGGTATCAAGACCATGTCTTGGATAAAGAAACACCTTTTAAGTGAACATTGAATATTTAAATCAAAAATTATCCCTAATCGAGGTCATTTAACTGATGGACGATTAATGACCACTGGAGATTAGTGTGCAGTATGATTTACAACACCGTTTCTTGTGCTGCAAGGACAAAGTAGTCATAAATCATTTGCACAGGTGCTAGTTTGGAACTGCACCGGATTGACCTATGAGAGTACTTTAAGAGATTTTAAACGTCATAAGTACATTTCTCATTATAGCTATCGGAACCTGTTTCCTCAACCATGAGTGTTGTGAAGTTCTCTTGTTTGAGTATTAGTCTCTTTGATGTTGTTAAACGTCCACCGTAACTGGGGATTATAACTGGAACACTCGGGAGACTAGGTCCTCTTAGTAACAGAGGCTTACAGTACAAGACTGGGAATGTCTCCCTATTAAGAATAGGGAATATGTCTTTGTTGTTTACAAGGTCGCTCGATGAGCGAGACTGTGAAAATGCATGGCCGTGCTTAGATGGATTTTAGAAATCATCTACTTATTGACAGTCGAACTCGGAGATCGAGAAACACTTCTGAACGTAATAAGGATGACGAAGATTCTTACCTTATAGTTCACGAAGAGACATTAAGCGACATAGGAAATAGGCTATACACTGTATGCACACTTGTCCGGAAGGACAAGTGGGAGATTGAAAGGAATGGTGTCCTTCCAACAAGTGTATTATACTGATAGAGGGTTCAGAGTTATCAGGAAGCTAATTCTTCAGTGAGATCAAGTGATCGGAATGCCTGGGTGGAGGCCGCTTTCGATCTGTAATATTAGTGAACAATTAATATTACAACTTTGTCTTGACTGAACCTTTCGGGTCGAACCCAAACAAACTGCCGATCCGAACCGACGAATCAATCCGAAGGATTTGATGAGTCACTAGAGTATTACGAACACAGACGTCGGATATCGAGCCTAGGGCGTTGAGACCGAACGTCGCAAAATCAACAAGCAACAAGTTCGAGCAAAGTCGTAGCATCACATTGGCCTAGCCATGTGGTTGCTAGGCTAGCTTGAGCTAGCAAAGCACCATGGTGTGCGTGCGTGCGTGCGTGCGTGCATTGACTAACCCTCGAGACAAAGATCGTTCGGGTCGGGTTGTGGGTACGAGTCGTTGGAGGCCGTCACGCTTGTGAGGCTTTAAGCTTCGAAGTAAGAGCTCGGTTTACGAGTGAAGCACGCTTCAAGGGTATTACTTCTTTATCCCTTCTCTTAATTATTGTTTAATTATGTTTGTGCATGCTTTATTGCTTTAATTATTGGGGCGGGTCTTGGCCGGGTTTCTCTTCTGCGTAGCGTTGGACGCTACGAAACCCAACAGGATGAGCTCAAAAAGTCTTTGGTTATCCACCCAATTATCAATCCAGAAAAAAATAACTTTGCCATTTCCTATTTTCCAATAGATACCTTTTCTCAAAAGTACCTTTTCTCAAAAGTTCACGTTAACCAAGAACTTTTCACCATCTATGGGAATCTTTCACACCGTGTTGGCACCAAAAATAGGATGAATTGTGAAGATATTTATCCTTAATGACTTTCACCCAAAGATTATTTGGGTTTGACATAATTTTTCTGCCTAATTAAGCGATAAAGTTCAACGAAGGCCAAGATCTCCAGTGCTCTTTGGTTTATAGATTTTATCCCATGCTATAAGAGGGATATTATTTTTATCTTTTTGTTGTCTGCAAAAGAAGTTTCGATGTAGGAAATCTAACTTTGTTGCAATGTCATTTGGAAAAAGAGAGGATGAGCTCAAGTAGGAGGGTAAAGCCTTCATCTAAATTGCTTTGAATTAAGGTATGTCGTCCAGCTTTTGATAGGATACCGGATTCCTAATGTTGAATTCTTTTTTCAGTCTTTTGGAGAATAATCTTGTAGTCTTCTTTCTTAGGAAAATAGGAACTAAAATGCACTCCAAGGTAATGACTTAGGGGTCATGTTAAAGTGGCTTGCTAACTCTATTCACCTTGAATTTGGATTTTTCTTCGAGAAAATAATTGACGATTTGTGAAAATTAATTAATTGACCTGAAATTTTGCAAAAACGAGAAGAGTTTTTAATCTATTGCAAGAGCTAATCATGGCCTTACAAAAAACTAGGCTTTTGTCTGCAAATAAAAGACAAGTCCAACTTTGTTTTTAAGACTTTCAATATAAAGTTTTCTTATTAAAACTTCCATGCAAAGAATAAAAAGGTAGGGAGACAGAGGGTCTCTTTGTCGTAGGCCTCTTGATGGTTTAAATCATTCAGTGAAGTGCCGTTAATCTTTAAAGAGTACGAGACTTTGGTTACACACTCAATAATCCATTCAATCTATTTTTAGGAAAACCAAAAGCTTTTAAACATTCTCATAAAAAATCTCATTCTACTCTATCATACGCCTTTTCCATATCTAATTTCAAGGCACACCATCCACTCTTATTGTTAGACTTGTGAAAAGTGTTAAGAACTTCTTCTACAATCAAAATATTATCATGGATTGAACGATGTTGGGTAAAAGCATTTTGAAGTGGGCTCACTTTTTCTTTCAAAATTGGACATACATGATTCACAAGAATTTTTGAAATTGTCTTTATAAAGTGTGTTTACAAGACTTATTGAGCGAAAATGATTTGGGATATCCGGCAAATTAGTTTTTGGGATTAAAGTTATCAAAGTGTGGTTTAAAGAGGGCGGGAGGTGACCATGGTAAAAGAAACCTTGAATAGCCAAATAAATATCTTTCTCTATAATTGACCAATATGATTGGAAGAATTTCACCCTGAATCCATCGGAACCTAGTGCTGTATGAGGGATCATATCAAAAAAGGCATTCTTAATTTCTTCATTGAAATGGTTACAGGGGCCGTAAGAGAGTTACAATCTTCTACTGAGGTTACAGATTCGATAAAAGATAGATCAAAATGCCTTGGGGTACTATGATCTGATTTGAATCTAGATTTGAGCGAATTAATCAGAAGAGAATTTATTTCCTTTTTGGTTTCTACCCAAGTATTTAGCTCATTTCTAAAATCTATATATGGTAGTACTTGCTATCTTTTTTCACATTCGATTATGAAAGAATCTAGAGTTTCTATCGCCTTGAGTTAACCAATTTTTTCAACTAATGTTCCCCTAAGTTTTTTTGACCAAATAAAATGGAGTTTTTCCCTTTGTCTAATCATTCTGTTTATGTGGCTAACAAGAATTGGATTAGATGGCTGCATACGAAGACTATTTTCGAGTTGCTTTATTTTTTCCTCATTTGCTATTAGCTTATTATTGTTGTTTCTATATCTCTTTTTTGCCCATTCTTTTAAATGCGTCTTTGCCCTACATATCTTTAGTTGAATCCTATAAAACCGATAACCTGTAATAGGAGTAGGCCAAACCTTATTCACAATAGAGTGAGATTCTCCTTCTAACGTCCAAAAGTTTTGAAAGTGAAAGAGTCGAGGGTCGTAGTTTCGCTCATTAAATTGCGAATCAAAGACTACAGGAGCATGATCTGACACTGTAAACGTACCATAAGAAGCTTTATAAGTGGGAAAGATATTTTAAAATTCACGACATCCTATAACTCTATCTATTCGCTTGTAAATTGTTTTGTTTCCGTGACATTGTTTCCATAAAAAAACATTTTGTAAGCCAGAAATATCAATAGCATTTGTTACATTTAGAAAATGAGGAAGTCTTTTAAGTTGATGATTTGCAAAAGGACGCCCTCCTAATTTATCGGTTTAATTGAGCATTTCATTAAAGTCACCGTTAACCATCCACGGAGGTTTAATATTTTTACTTAAATATTCCAAGTAATCCCAAAAGATGTTCTTGTCATTTTCCTGGGCCATATATGCCAGAAATAAGTAGGTATTTAAAGGTTTTTATGTAATATGTAGATGAGCACATCTATCTTTAAGTTCTATATGAAAAATAATTATATTTTCATCATTTCATCAAACCCAAATCCCAACTGCAAGATTAACTAGTTCAATAACAAACTTGTTATCAAAATGTAGAGCATTTAAGATTTTATTGCTATTGATTGATTGTGTCAAAGTTTCTAAGACAAAGACAATACCTGGTCTAAACTTATATTTAAGATGAACTAACTCAGCCAAAGCTAGGGGCTTTTCCCCACCTTGAATATTCCAGCTAAGGATTCTCATTTATCAAACATGGTTTTCTTTAATGTGTGCACTTTAGCCACACCATATTCATAGAGTGTCAAGCACTCGATTCCAAGGGGTTGACTAAATCCATTCATCATACTTCATTTTGATGCTTATTACAATTACAACTACAACCCCATGCATTAGTTACAACATTTAAACAATTCAAAAGTTGTAATTTATACAAGTACATAAAACAAAGTAGATTTCGAATATATGCAATTATTACTTGCATGAGAAAGGTCTGCAGCTGGTATGAAGACCAAATATCACTTAAGATACAACACTGATCATAGTTGTTTTACTTATGCAAAAGGCTCCGATGGAAGTCGAGACACGGTATGTAGAAACCATTTAATGCACAATTAAACGCCACCATACGAACAACTTCAAATTGCAGCAACCATACCCAAGGTAGGATATGAAGGTGGAACAATGCAAGGTACAACACCAGCATACAAAGAGTAGACAATTCATACAAGTATAGTTCCAAATTAGTACGATCACCAATTTCAAACAAGGTAAGAATCAAAATAGTGAGAAAGTCACTAGTTTTCCACAGCGGGTGTCGAGCACCCGAGTCCAGAGCGGATGGTTTAGCATCCGATTCAACATTAGAGTAGTAGCCAACACAAACACAATAATTGGAAAAGATAAGAAGTACAAGACATACCCAAATGAAGAAAAACGAAGTGGAGCTAGACCAAAACCATATTCAACAAACAGAAAGAAATAAAAATAGTTACTAAACAAGACCACAAAAAATGAACTAAAGGATATGGGAATTGGGGATACACCATACTAATGAAAATAAATAACAAAATCTTTACTAAGAGGGTCCAAAGGGTGAAATAGCAATTCAGATATAGTCCCCTGCCTAACCAAATCCACTCAATGTATAATAAGTGAATATAGGACAGCATAGTAATAGCAAGAAAACAAAAGAATAGCAATAGCCAGGAGGTAATCTTGCATAAAAAACCATGAAGTACAGGGTACAGGGAAATGGATTAATATCCGGAAAGTGTAATAATGAAAGACAAAGCCTAGTACAATAAAAACAAAATAGGAATAGAAAAACTAATCAAATAGTGATAAACAAAGCTGAGAATTAGAAAGGTATGAGCCCATCGATCAAGAATATGGATGTGACCGTATAAGGATGATAAACAAAACTCACCAAAAATTGAAGCGGGGCGTATATTCTTGTTCTTGGTCAGCCAGAGATAATATAGGGAGCAAATATTAGATATAAGCCACCAACAAAGACAAAGCAAGCAAAAATAACCGTAATATGAAAATGGAGGGGCAACTGATATAGCTCAAACATAGATTAAACTCGAAAATAGTCTTGTCATAATCAAAAGAAGCAACAATTCCACAATTAAGAGAAAGCCATAAATACACTGCTATAAAAGGGGAGAAAGATCTTACCTGAGCCGAGAAGGTAAACAACGGGATCACCGCTCCGTTATTTCCGACCAGCAGGGTCTGGACTTCAACATCTCGCTACATCTTGAGGCCATAGTAGAGCCAACAATGAAGATTTTCAACCGCGGTATTCGCATCGAACTTTCTACCATTAATTCCGATTGCAATTCCACAAAACTTCAAACACACTAACGGGTTTTAAATTGCTTGTTTCTCTCTTTGATTGGGGTTCCAAAATAGGTATGATTGAGCTTTCTGAATAATTCATGGTAGCTAAGACAAACAAGTGACGGTGTGCGGGCTGTTTTGGGATTCTTCTTTATTTTTTTCCTTTCCTTCCTTCCTCTTAGGGTTCTTTCTCTCTCTAGATTTCTGTCATTTTTTTTTGTTAACGAGTGTCTTCGATAATATGTTTGATCTGTTAAGGTAATGTTTCAGATGCCTTTTATTGGGCTGATGACTAATAAGTTATTACCTTTAATTTTAATGTTCTGAATGCCACATTCAAGGGCTAGTAAGACTCCTTTATGAAGAGCCATAGCTTCCGCTATAAATACTTTGGCGTTGCCGAGGTTGAACGTAGATGCTTTGATGAGTGCTACGCTACTATCTCCGATGATGATTGTTACTGCTACTAAGTTGTTACGAACCGAACCGTCGAAGTTGAGCTTGAAGAAATTGTTGAGAGGCGTCTTCCATGATATAAGAATGGATGATGGGGATTGAGTATGAGAAGAATGATTATAAGATCTCGACATGGGAGATTCCATGGAGGAGAAGGTATCTATGAGACTTCTTTTGATTCTTTTTTTGAAAAGGTAAAAAAAAAAATTTAAACATTAGAAAGCGTATTATACTTATAAATAGTTGTCATGATACTAAATTAACGGTAGTGTATTAGTGGTACACTAAAATTTAAAAATCAAAGTAATAAAATGTGGTCCAATTACTTTTTATTATTATATACTAAATTACCATCACCACCGTTATTATGTATCAACAAATACATAATAATACTACCTTTATATTTCCTTTAGGCTTTGCATCATTAAATTGGGCCAAGACTAAAACTCGTCTGAAACTTCTAATAGCCCACTCGAGGTGGCCCTAACAAAAGGAAGATTCTTGTATGGAATACCCAACCTAACAAACTAACAAGTGATCTTCAAAACAAAATTCTATTTTTGACGAATAACAATTTTTCATAGAGGAGATCCTGCTTTTCAGTTTTCAATTTTCGCGTTACTTGTTTGCACACGCACAGGTCAGTATCTCTCCTCTCCTCTAATTTCGAAAATTCATCCAAAAAATTAACGTAATATCCAAATTAAATGTAAGTTTTGGTAGAATCATATTCTTTGAGTATCTGATTATTGTTATATATTTATGATTATTAATATTTGGATTTGATTAATTTGCGATCAAAATTTTCTGAATTTGTTTTATTGTTGAATAATATTGTTATTTTGTGTGAGAGGTAATATTAATCGATTCATAAATTGGATTGTTTTCTTGGAATTTTTTCGGTTTATATAGTGATGACGAATTAATAAAATATAGTTGAATTAATGTTATTGATTACTTGAAATAAAATATTGGTTTAATGTAATTGATTAGTGCATATGAATATTTTGAATTTTATTATCTGGGGAAAGAAAATGGGTTATGCAGCAATGCACAATCTCAAATCAAGAATTAGTAGGAGTAGTTTGCCAATGAGCTATTCATGCTAGTGATTTTTGGCACTCTAATTATTCGAATCTTGGCTTCATCTCTAAAAGTTCTTCGTGTTCCAATGCAAGGTTTTCTCTAATTACACATAAATAAAAATTAAGAAACTTTGACACGAATCTAACAAAACCTACTTGACTATGATTTTTTATTTTTTGAAAAATATAATAGGAATAATTTAGAAGATTCTTTAAAATTGTGCATAGTTACAAGATTCTAAATGGTTAGATTTTTTAGATACAGAGAAATTGGCATTTGGCAACCCGACTAAATCGCAAATTGTGTTTCTGTTCTTTTTTTATTGGATGAAAGTAACTGATACTGTTTTGAATAAGAGAAGTTGCTAAAATTTCTTTTGAAATAAAAAGAAAATCAGTATATCTTTATATGGAGCATATGTGAATTCAGTGTATGACAACCTGCTATACATTAAACATGATTGTCTTTGTAGCATTTGGAATTTCAAAGTAATAACCGTAATTGCTATTTTTGGTAATTCAATTAGCCACTCGAGTATCCAACTTCCACCCCGTAGGGCTATATATATCTAAACGTTAAGCCATCTAGTTTCCCAGGCACTTCTTGTAGGACATTGATATCGGTAGTCATGAGTTTGTGGATTAATATACTATATTGTACTAATTTATGAGTATTAACTTTGTAAAATAACTGGTCAGGCAATCTTGGAGTGAATTGGGACGGATCATTAGAACTACTTGTAATATATCATTTTGATGAGATGTACAAGGATAGGGTAAAAGCACTTTGGCGAGCTATCAGTGCGACAAAGTTTGTAAACGATGACAATGAACCATGTCAAATGGAAGAGGTAACATTCATGGTTCATGTTGTTGAACTTGCATCTCGTGATAAAGGTTTCTAAAATGTTGCATTCAATTAAATTTATTCTTGCGGTGTTTTCTAGGGTCTCTTCGTGGGGTCTGCTGCAGCAGCAAACAACATAGCTGCATTGAAACAGCATAATATTACTCACATCTTGACTGTGGCTGGTTTTATTCCCCCTGCTCATCCACACGACTTCACGTATAAAATCATTGATGGTAAATTCTCCCCCAGAAAATTTGTCTAAGTTTAAGGACACTGTAGCCTGTAGCACAATACCTGCATAATTGCATATATTGCTGCATGGAATAGAAATTACGCTACGTATTGTTATCTTGTGCTACTGAAGCCAAAAGAAAGCAATTAAGATAAAGGTTGCTTCTTCTTTAACTTAGACGAATTTAGATGAGATGTTCGAATCGCTACTGCATTTAGTCGAACGCCTTGCTTTGATCTATTTATAGTGGAGACAAAAAATTGATATCACTGGTGACTGGAGCAGATCATTGCTTCATGACTTTTGCTAAGGGTATGGAAATTGAAGGTCCTCAGACTTTCAGGTGTACCTGATTTTCATGGAAGCTATTAATAAATCTCACCAATATGACCTTTTAGATTTTTGATACCCATGTATCTAACTTGAATTTGATGTTCCTTAATTCAAGTAAAATTCTTAGATATTTGCAAATCACCCCTCTGTATGCCTATAGATTCCTATGTAACTTAAGCTTCTCATTTCCATTTAGATTATTGTGCTAGAGATTAGTATGAGAAACAATAAGATAGCAAGCTAGAGAGATAGAATCAATGGCAACCAAGGGAATGATAGAAGTATTATTGAACAGAGTATCCAACAATACTGACCTTCTTTCGAGAGGAAGGAGCTCTCCCAAAACAAACCTCTTAATTAATTTCTTGATACATTCCCCTTTCACCAATCACCTATTAATACCCCAAAATTAATCCCTAAAACAGACTTAAACACACCTTAAGCATGCCAGCCAAAAAATAACAAACTCATAACAAACTTATCTAGAGATTACTATTTTACCCATCTCCCCAAGCTGAATTTAACAACCTTACAACTCAGCATTCTTCCAGCTTCTTGGGCCTTCTAGCATAAGTAAAGCGGATATCAGGTTTAGGCTGATTCCTTGCATATTGTTTGTTCGAATTGTTCCTTAGACTTAGCTTTGTGTCTCATCCAAAATTTCTTTCATGTATATTACGGTCTTTCTTTTTTAAAAATATGCTGATGTAAGGTCGGAATATTAATGTCCCATATGCTAAAATCTTTGAATTTATTAGCATAATGATCTTGTTGTCTCACCTTTTCTTTAAATTTGGTATTGAGGCAGTGGTGGACACAGTATGTACCAATCTTGCTCAGTACTTTGATGGATGTATTGATTTCATTGATGAAGCTAAAAGGTCAGGTGGTGGGGTATTAGTTCACTGCTTTGCGGGGAAATCCAGAAGGTAGGCTAAAGCGCAAATTTTCCAGTGAACATGGTATTGAAACTGAGTGATGAAATAAGGTGTCTTACAAGATAAATGGGTTTTTTTTTTTTTTTTTTCAAATCCGGATGGTTGATCTAAACACATGAGTTGAATGGAACTGAGTACAGGATATGATAAAAAATAAAAATAAATAAAAATAAATAAAAAAAAGAGAAAAAAGATTTAAATGACAAGCTGTTCCTATTTTGTCGGATGTTGGTTGATTTGTGTGAATTGGGAGTTGAGCATTACATATAGAAAAATATTTCCTGGAACTATAAATGAGTGCAACATTTTTAATCTTGTTCAGTTACTCGTTCAGTCAGGTTATACTCATGCTATGTTGGTGTGTCAAATTGTAAGTGGAGGGAGTAGGGCTTCATGTTTCAGATCTTGTGACCATGTGATCCTTGTTGCTGATACTGAAAGCGGATTTTATACTATTTCTTTCTTCTTAATGCCATGTAGTGTGACTATTATTCTTGCGTATCTGATCAAAAAGCACGGCATGACTCTATCTCAAGCTCTTGAATACGTGAGAAGCAAAAGACCACAGGCATCACCTAATCCCGGCTTCTTACAGCAGCTACGGAAGTATGAACAATCACTGCAAGGTGTGTAGTTCGTGCTTGATTTTATGTTCCCTTTTTCTTTTCATAGGATTTGTTTAGTTATTATTTTGACATATGCTTTGGACTTTCTTTGTTTCAATCTAGACCATCTTTTCTTCCTTCCTTTTCAGGTATCGAGACTCAAGGTTCAGTTAGTCAGGTGGGCTATCTGTGTTAACAGCAACATATATAATTGCAATTTTGAGCCAATATCTCCCCTCTCGTAATTTTTATCAGATACTAAAAAAAGTATACAATTTTGAAAAGCAGCATCTGTCCAAATTCCTTGGCAAGGACATATAGGGATGCTACATTTTTCCATTGCAAGTCATTTGTGAAGAAACATTCTTGTTCGTATTTCATCTCTGTTTGAGACTATCATGTTTAGGTGTTAATTGTAGTCAGTTGAGGATTGAACCTCTACCAAGAAAGAGATAGATTTATTGTTTTATCTTATACAATTCTGTTTAAGTTTATTTTGCGAGGCTTATGCTATTAATATTGCTCTAAGTAGGTGATCTGAACTGTTAAGATTGTTGCTTTATGTCTAATGATGTCAAAAATTATTGCAGCTAAGCAATGTCCCAATTGAAGGTTCCAAAGAATTATGAGTTACTTCTTGCTTGAAGATGCCATCATTGAGAATTTCGAGATCAGAAGTGTATGTATTGAAATTCTTGCACACCATCTATTATTTGTTATATCTACTTGTTTAGTGCTTCAATTGCTGAATTTTGCAATATTGATATTTCATTTTCACTATGGTTACTAGTATTGTAGTTGTGCATGCTCCCAAATGTGGAACTTGTTTTTTTTTTTTACTTACTGTAGATTAATATGTTATCACGTAGTACTCTCTTCCTGAAGTTGTTCACATACATAGGTGCAATTGTAACCCGAACTTTATTGTTCGATTGATATATTAGTTTAGAACAAATAAGATATACTTTGCACTCCCGTAAAAAAAAAATTAAAAAAAAAAACATATAGTTTGCACTCCTTTCGTTTCATAATGTTTCCATCTCCATGGTTCTTGACATATATCGTTGACAATCAATGTCTAATTACAAAGAGAGGAGTAACATCTTTTTTTACGCCAAATATCTAATGTAATGAACTCCATGGTTCTTGACATATATCGTTGACAATCAATGTCTAATTACAAAGAGAGGAGTAACATCTTTTTTTACGCCAAATATCTAAAGTAATGAAAAAATAATAATTATCATTCAACTCAAGAATAATGAAAGGTACTTCGTATTAAAGACCACCAAGTAATTAAGAGATAATAATAAAATTTTAATGGGATAATGTTCAACTAATGATACTAAAAATGGCTATTAAAAATAGAAAAATTCTCAGTGAGCTAATTTTTAGTTCGATTAATTTTGGTAGTCTTATACTTTTAAAAGCTTTTAACTATGACCATAATAATGTTTTTCGTTAAAGTTCCGTTAGGTCTAAATTTACCGTGAACCAAGGTTAACTTTTCAAAAAAAAAAAAAAAGGTTATTATCCACGACAACCGCTCCATTCATTCCCCTCTTTCTTCTTCTTCAATCAAAATCTAGAGTTCTTGATTTTATCTCTTCTTATAATTTAACACCATTATTAAGTAATTTAAAATCAAACTCAAACCCTAAAGCACTTGCAATAACCGCTCTCTTGGGTGGGGTTTTGGTGGGTGGCTTTCGTGGGGGAGGGATGTTATTCGTGGGTGGGGATTTGGTGGGTTTGGGGGTTTCTTTTGTGGGGTTTTGGTGGGTGGCCAATTTCATGGGGGGTGTTTTTGGTGCGTGGCTAGATTCATGGGGGATATTTTTCGTTAATAGGTCATGGTTTTCGTGGATGGGGGTTTCTTGAGTGGGGTTTTGGTGGGTGGCCGGTTGTGTGGTGAGTTTTGGGGTTGTGGTGGCCGATTTTAGGGGAGGTTGTTACGGGGGAGGGGGGACGGAGAGGGGGATTTTGTTGCGATTGAGGGTTTTGTGGGTAGAGGGTTTTTGGGGCTGGTGGAGGCAGCCAAGAAAGAAGAAAGCAAGAAGAGAGAATTGTTGAAGAGATAGAAAATGGTTGACCGTGTTAAAGCTAACGTCTATTTAACGGTTGTAGGCTTAATAAGGTCGCAGATGTAAGTTTTTAATGATAGAGGGCTTACCAACGATAGTTAAAAATTTAACTAGAATTGAAAATAAGCAAAAGCAAACTAAAGGAATACCCTTATAAATAACCAGTGAAGGAGTAAAGCTAAAATGTCAATTTTGGAAAAATTGCTCGCTCGCCCAATCCATAGGGTATGGAACATTTTAATTAAAAGAAAAAAAAAAAAAAAACTAATTTTGTCTTTCGGCAGACATGGAGAGTATATTCGGCACACAAGCTAAGTTCACCGGATCCAAAGGGCATGTAAACAACCTCCACCTTTTCTAGCACTAAATAACTGATAGTTGCATGTTAGATAAGCAAGTTCCCTTGGTGGCCAAAGCATGACCCATTTCAACTACAATTGGTTGCAAAAGCATATTAAGTCAAATCACACATATATAGTCTACGAACTTTCACTTCCCACAAAACGAAGTTGCTTCCCCTCTTCCTTTTGGTAAGTGAAATTGCTTGTAAGAAGTTTTACTTATTCAGTTTAAATATGATTGTTTCGGGTAAAACAATCTGGTCAAGACTTTGACCTTTACTCGTGGATTGAAGAGGGGGTTCAGACCGTATGAAGATGGGCCGTAGATCACCTGCACAGAACAGCACGTTAACTAGCAATGTTCCGAGTAAACCTCTCTGATGCCTAAGTTAGTACGCGTGCTTGATACTCAAGGAGAGAAATCAATGCATGCAATTTTATTAAATATATATAATAGTGTTTGAAGATACCATGTTTGGTATTTTTGGGCTAATTATACCTTAGTGAAGTGGGCCCTATTTTTAATTGGGCTGGTTTGATCCAATTGATCAAGGGGTTGCTTCATGGGCTTTAGTCAAATTTGACTTGTGGCTTGGAGGAGGCTTTTTGGATATTGGGCTTTAGGTTATTAAATTGACTGGCCGAAAATGAAGCTACAGAGTATTTTGGACCCAAACACCCCCCCAGATCCAGTTCAAATAGAGTTTGGATTGGGTTTGGGATTATTTGTTTTGGAGGGAAACTTAACGTGATTAAAAATTTAGCTTATTTGGCAAGCATTTATGAGAGTGGCGGCTATGATTCTGCATTAAGGAGGGAGCTGAATAGTTAGTAGGGAACGGTAGTTTCGCGCACTTTCCTTTTAAGGTAATCATATAAAATGCGCTCCTAATCATTTCCGCTTTTTATTCCCCAAACACTATTTCTCTTTCTTGTGCAAAATTTTCGATAATTCCTTTTACTTTTTCTTAGATTTCCGAAGCTTGAACCAAGACGAGACTGTAAAAGTTTTTATTTTCAGCAAATTTCGTTTCTAATAAAGGTAATTTTGGTTCTTTTTCGAGCTTTCTTTCTTGTTTTTTGCAATTTAGGGTTTTAATGTTGTCACCGGAAAAATTACACCGATGGCCGGCGGTAGAAAGGATAAGCAACCCACGGTTCAGGAAGAGGAGCATGAGGTTCCACAATCTGATCGCTTGGAGGAGCTCTGGGTAAGGATTGTACAGCGGCTAAGCAAGGTGCGGTCCCGATTGAGGGGATAATAATGGATGTCATACCACCAGATCAATATCCTCTATAGTCTAAGGCTATTCCCTCTAGTCGAACCGAGGAAGAAATCCTGATGTCTCAACCTTTGTTTGTCTGAGAGATAGTAACTGTGGTTAGACACCGTTGAGAATAAAGGTCCTCTCACCAAGGTTCCTCTCGAGAAGTGGGTAGGGAGGATCCAAGGAAGAAAGATTACCTTCCATGGTTGAGATTTATATATGGTGTCATGGAAGAAGGGATTATTGGTGTTGTTTGCCGGCGAGGATGACATTATCGCTATGTCGTCTCCGGGGTACATTGGCGTCTGTTTTTACCATTTTGAGTTTGGGTTGAGATTTCTTCTCCACCCCTTCATCACGACGGTGCTGAATACCTACAATATTTGCTTGGCTTGGCTTATCCCCTTGACTGTTTGGAGGATTATTTCTTTCATTTTGTACCTCAACTTTCCTCGGCTTCGAGCCTTCCAACTACGTGTTTCGATTGATTGATAAGTTGGTGCTGAACATTAATGTCAAAGAAGGTTTGGGCTAGTTGCTATCAATTACGTTTGAGGCATTATGGCCGCTTATCCATACTTATCCTCATATATGGATTGGAAACAATTCTGGCTCGAAGTTCGATTTCCTCAGATGCCTAATCATCCATGGCATTTTGGGGCGCCAAGGTATGTTTTGAGGCCTAACCTGAAATGTCCAATCTCAGGGACGTCGAGTTGAGCCCAGTTGAGAAAGAGCTGATGGAATAGTTTCTATGTGTTACCGTTCGGGGTTAATCTGGTGCTACCTCGATGTACTGTCTCTGAACACTAACTACCTTTGCATCGAGAAAAATCTCACCATTGTCGGCCTTAGCAAAAAGTTGGGATCTGGTAAGTGTAGATACCTAAAAATGTCTCTCGAAATCAACCCCGATGATAAACAACCTTTCACCGCCATTATTGTTCAGGTTGCGTATTGAATCTGTGGAGTGCTTAAAATCATATCCATAACCCAATACATTTCCATTCACCTAAACCAACCCAATTCCTAGCCCATTTCCACAAACCATGACTTATTTTTCTCTTTTCGTGACCATAACCCAAAAACGGACAAAACTAATTTCTTGGCCTTATAATTTTGATCCAAATAATATTTTTTTGGATAGGCCTTGAAATAAGCTTTCCAACAGTTTATCATAAGCTCAATTCCGATTTGAAACGAAAAAGATATGAGCAAAACAATAAAACTCGGCCCAAAACCGACACCCTTGCACAAAAACGGCCATATCTTAAAATCTACAAAAGTTTTGGACCAGATTTTTATTGGGTTAGAAATTAGACTTAAAGATCTTTCTGGTGATATATTATATGCCTTATTCCGAGTTATGGATCATAAGTAATGGATGTATTAAAAACGCGTAAAAACTGAAAAGTACTGCGCCAACGGTATCAACTAAATGTTGCGCCACAATGTTAGTACCGTGCCACGGCACAAAGATTTTCCAGATTCTTTTCTTAAAGCGCTTTCTTTTCCCGAAATGATAGAATTTGGTATCGTGCCACGGTACCAGTATCGTGCCACCGATACCTTTTTCTTCAGTGGTGCTCGTTCTCTAGGGTTCCGACCCGTACCTCACTCCATCATTTTTCTCTATAAATACGAGACTCATTTACTAGTTTCGGGGAAGGAACATCAATTCTGTCTTCCTTCTCTCATACTTAGAATTGCTATTCTTTCATCATACATCCCCTAAGCACTACAAGGAGTCCATACAATACTCGAATTTCCGTACTTAAACCAAGGCGTGAAAGGTAGAACCGATTAAGGGTTTGGACCAAATCAACTCTAGTTTAATTTAATTTTATTTGTTATTCTTTGAAGTTACTAAAGTTTTATTCATGATGTAGCAATTTAAATAAGCGCGGAATGTGAGTAATTCATTCAATTACTTACTCTTATTTTATATTGCTAATATCACGATTAGGTTTATTATTATATTTTTGATGATTGACTAACGATACTATGGTTAAATTGTTTTCAATATTATTACTTATTTTATTATATTTATTATTGTTCACCATATTGCATGTTTAAAGGGGATATGT